TGTATATTCGCACTCATGCGTCGAGTTAATAAATTTTGTTTTACTATCATCGATATCTAAAAAATGATTTTATTCTAAAATAAAAGTATTAAACCAGTATGTCAAATCTGAAGTAAATTTTTTCTTAAAATAATTAAGTACAATAAAAAGAATAAAAAAAAAATATGTATATTTCTCAGCTTCAACTATAAAATACAATATTTTGTCAAAATTTTTCAAAAAAAAATGAGCGATATTGAATTAACGAAACAAGAAACATGATATCTGATCGCAGAGATGAGTTAATTTACCGCCAGCTAAGGTTGCGTAAGTATATGCTGCCTGCAGTGACTGCCAAGCTGTCGCTCGAACGCGAACGTGTCCGTCGCACATCCTGATCACGTGTTCCATTCTCCAACCAGCATCTCGACAAGTTCTGAACTCGGCTTAACAGCGAGAGTTTTATACCCCGAAACGTAAAACGTATTACGAGGTTCAGAAGTTCCGTTTGCAGTACAAAGTTCCGGTCTTGTTAGCTTGTCCTCTCTAAGCTAGAAGTACGTAAGCCTTTTTAATGACGGAAACCGGCAAGATATTCATGCAAGCGACGTGGCACGTTTTCGTAAGAAGGATCTTCATTATTTCGCGAGCCGTTTAGAATGTACGGAGATACTCGAACTCGTCGAACTGCTTCAAACGTTTCTCGAAACGTGATCGGCAGCCAGCGAAACTGCACTCCGGGCACTATTAATGGCGCTTCGAGACTGTTCTCCTAATTTATTGTTCAACTTTCCTTGAGAATATTCGTACACATGTGTGCGTTTTCAAGAAATTTGAAAGCATCAAAATAAAATGTGAGTTAAAAGTTTTATTTAGTTTGTGATCGAAATTGGATTCTTATTTATCTAATAAAAACAGATCTCTAAAATATGGGCAATTTTGCAAAACTATTATAAATTTGTTATAGTATTTTTAGAATTTTGATATACAGGGTGGCTCACGCAACTCTTTAGAGCTCGAAATCTCGGAAACAATGCGATCGATTTTAAAAGTTTAGGTCTTGAATTGTATGTCTAAAGAGCCTTTAAACTCGAATTAAGAGATTAGTCTCCAAACCCCACAAATGATTGTGTAAATAGGATGAGGATTAACTTTATATTAATACCACTTCAACTTCTAATCCTTATTTTCAGTCAAGATTGTCTACGTAAATTGATTTTAAGAATCTCACTCGTCACTGCAACTTGAATTATAACTTTGGATATAAAAAATCGCACACATTCCTATTTTGTAATAAATATATAAAATACAATCGCTTGAGCTTAATTAAATATAAATTGTGCTTCATAATTGCTTCGTGCAAAATATATCAAAAATTTTTTAGATTTAATTTATCAGCAAATAATTTAATTAAAATAATAATAGACATGTTAGTTAATTAAAATCTGCAATTGTTTATTTATTTGTGAATCAAAGAAAGTCAATGGCGCTTTTTATAAATATAAATATATATATCACACACGAGAAACTTATTCTGACATTTATACCGCAAAAGGAAAAAGAATAATTTACCGGTTTTTCCTTTTGATGGTCAGTACAGCTACAATGACGAATCGAGAAGACGCGGCCAGAATGCATATGCATTCCCAGCATGACACAACGTGGCGATCAACGTTTGTAAATCCTGCAGCAAGCGTCGTTTCACAATTTTCAATTCGAATAACCCACGGCTATCTTTTTAAGATTTATTTTTTAACCATTTTTTTTTTATATGTCCAAACATAACAATGAATTCTATGTTAGATTCGGCATATGCAAATCTCGCGCCGAATCATGAGCGAAATGCACGCGATTTTCTGTGTAGTGCGCGTTTTTCGGATTTTCAACTCGATGGATGAGCGTGCCAAATATTCTCGTACGAATTGATGCTCACGATGGCGGATCGATAAATAATCAATCGGCAACTATCATGCCGGGCGAATCGGCCAAATCGTCGCGTCAAAAACACGGGACGGCAGCGGGATGGCTAGCCGATGGCGACAGCTGCCAACAACGCGTGCAATTTTACGTATCGCGAGCGTATATGTCGATGGCGCGGCGCGGTGTATTGCAATGTTTTTCGTCATATAAAAAATACACGCGAACATTGTCCGGCGCGATACAGCAATCTGCGAGAGCGTCAAATCCATCATCAGCCGTCTACCGGATATTACGTGTGACATACTAACAAATATCAAAGGAGCAGTCAGCTGGTTTCATGATATTGTGCCTTCGACAAATGTTATCAGACGCATGCATGACGTTGATTAATGCGAGAAGCTTGTGCGACAGAATCTTGATTTGTAAACGATATTTTTTAACAACTACAATCATTTACAAATATCGTTAATACCATCAATAATTTCTCTTGTATTCCAAAAACCACGAATTAAAATGTATATATATATTTTTTTTTAGAAGATGTCTAATTTTATGATTGCAAAATAATGGACATTTATTTTATGACGCGCACTAAACGCGCACGTTTTCTCTAAAAAAATTGCGAAATTAACAAGCTAAATTGATGCTTTCTTCTTTTTTTGTATCCCTCTGCGAGTCATTTAGGAAGTGCGCATATTCTTGTGTAAAATTCAAATCATAGAAAAAAAGGGATCGGGCCGAAAAGATGCCGGTCGTCTGCTCGACAAGACCGACTCAACTTTTGGCACTGCGTTTAGACATTTATATGACGCGTCACGTCCGACTGCAAGAAGTTCGTTACTACTCACTTGGTTATCGGAACGTGCATCGATTTCTTCGCCCGGTGTAATTTTAGATCCACGCTGGCGTTGTGACCCATTTTTCACGTCGCCTGGGATACATATCAGATTTAGTCCAAGTGATCTGATAAACGATCCGCGGATATTTCTGTTTGCCGAAGAGATATTTACTCGCTGACGACCGATAGATTTAAATAAATTAATTGTTACTACCTTTTAGTAAGTAATATCTTTTCTACTTCTTATTATTCAAGTGGCGTAAGTTCTATTTTCATTTAACTTCAATTTTAATCTCTGTATCGTTAAAGCCTTTAATTTATTAATTATATAAATTCGTCATTTCTTTTTCCTTTCTCGGCAAAAACTGTCTTGACGGGGTATATTTTCTGCTCTTAGAAACCATTGGAAAGAACAAAAGACCTCGGGCTAGGCTTCAATTTAAAGAGTCGGCTGACCAGTTAACTGATAAATACGTGAATGCAGTGTGAGCTTAGGAATCTCCTACGTCATTCATCCTTTGTGAAAATGACGGTCATGCACGAGTATTAATGGGATCCCGGCGGAAGTAAAAATACATTCTATTGTCGGAGCTTCATGCCGTGGAGTTTTATTGTAAAACTCGATAACGAAGTTCAAGAGAACATGATTATTATTGAACAAACCGAGTAGAGCGTAGAGTTACAAGGTTTATAATGATGATGGAAATGGCTCAGTAAATAAAGCGAATGCATTCTGATTTTCATGCATGAAGCAAGTAGAAGCAAATTTCAAACTAAACATTCAAAGCAGTTGCGCGATTGTGTTGTTCCACACAATTTTTTTTTTTTTTTTTTGCATAGAAGAATCACGGTGGATGATTTAAATCGACTATCAATCGTTATCTGCTAGAGCTAGAGACAGAACATGCTTATTTTAAAAGGTTTTATCTTTAATTTAGAATTTTCAATAACGTAGCAAAATAAAGTTTTAATTTAAAATATTTTTGTCACAATGTTTTTTTTATTTAAATTCAACAGCGTTTTCGCTACCAATATTAAAGCAATTTTTTTAACAAAACCATATTTCGCAACTGTTGTCTCTATTATTTGAATATTTTCTGTAACTATTTTGCTGATTTTAAATTAATAAAAATGTTAATTGAATTGAAAAAATAGGTAGAAGCAAAAGTGGAGTTTCTGTAACATGTAATTGATATTATTAAGTTATTTCTTAAGTCGTGTAGAATCAAGAATTTTATTATTTCATAAGAACGCGAGAACTTTTCGTTGAACGGCTCGTGATTCATATCGATGAAACACGAAAACACAAGCGAGTTTCTGGAAAGATTTGTGAGGGAAAAACGAAAAAGTGTCGGAAAATGTTGTAATATCTCATTTTGAAAGATGTAAAAGTCCGACCCGCCATCGTTCACTATATCACACTCCTCTTCAGATCTCTCGAATAGTAATTAGTTCCTTTTTCCGATTTAAAATAGCACCGTCGACTCGCTGCTGGCTATCTCTGCAGGCAGAATCGAAATAAAAAAATCGGGTCACTGTAGATAAAACACTACCCCCATCCTCGGCGTTCCTTTTTATCTAAAAAAAAGTCTAAAGATTCCGTACTATTTGCATCAGTGACCATGTTAAAAGCAGATATAAGAGATTTAATGAAGAGGAACACTGGAAGAGATGCTTAATAGGGCAATAAGTAAATGAGGATTAAGAATGGAGAGTAGCAGTTCGACGAAGGAGATCAAGGATTTCTTATTTCGTTTTACAGAAGCACCTGCCGCATATTTTTCTACAGCTATTTGATCTTCTGCCTTTTCAGCTTATTTACGAAAATGATAAAAGCAATTCTCGCGAAAACAACATAATTATTCACAAACAATACGACATACTGTGACTCCATAAATTTTTCCAGTAAATTGAAATAAATTGAGAATAATGATTTCACAAGTTAATACTATCCGTCTATCGGTTTCAACTGGAAAAACTCAGATAATAATAATTATTATTTATCTGATATCGTCTGATTTTAATATTGACAATTTTAAAACTTTATACGCATAAACAACAATGCAACAATTTCAAAATATCACTCAGAAACTCATAAACTATGCAGGAATTCCGAGTCGAGACGCAACTACATGAATGGAAATGATAATTGCCATAATTTCAACCATAGATAAAATGTGTCTTAAACGGAGAAAAACAAAATGAATAATATATAAGAGGCTGCGCACTTAACATAAGTCATTCTTTCGTTCCGATACTTCGAGAGAGATTTTTCTCTCTAAATCTACAGTAGTTGTCTTTAAAATACTCTTGCGTAACCAAACTGTGGAAGCTAATTCGATTCATCAAGATAAAGTGCAGTGAGTAAACTTCTTTATATTTTATCCACTTATAATTTACATGCGTTTTTATTTAATTATTACTATTTTTCAATTTTTTAGTCCAACTACACTAGGAAAAATATTTAGTTGAAAAAACCAAATTATTATTACGGTGGCCAAAATATTTGATTGATTGATGTCCAACCACATCTATTTAGTTGTCTTAAACAAATGTTTTTGTTAGCAACATTTTTTTCTTATAATTCCTCTTTCTTTAATATCTAATAGATGTTTTTTCGACCTATATTTATTATTAGAAACCCAATTTTGCTTTATTACACTAACTTTATTAACTTGGTTATTTAAATTAAATATACAATTTCAATTTTATTGAAAATTTTCTAACGACTAAAATATTTGGTCAAGACAACGAAATGTAAAATGTATTATTTTAGCAAAAACAACTCAATTTTTTACAATATGAAACAAGATATTTGCTTCCTATAAACAAAAGTCTCAGCTATAAAATTTTATTAAAAACACTAAATTTTTTTTCCTAGTGTAGACACACACAAGCGCGCGCTACACGCGGGCTATTTATTCTTTTAATTACAAAGAAATATGTGTATATTATTTACAGACGTATATTATTAAAATTTCATTAGCAATTTACATAGTGATGAATAGTAAACGGAAGAGCTATTACTTTTTATTAGTAATTACTAGTATTATTAGTGAACGTTATTACAATTGTGAGTAAAGTGCTACAAAGATACAAATCGGTAATAAAAACAAGACTATTTTTGGATTAAGCAAGCATTATTTTGGATTTTGCAAGATAAAAGCAATAAAAATTGAATTGTCGGATATATTTAATGTCCAATAATAAAATCGCATGTTTTAATAATTCATTTTAAAAATTCTAATTTGTGAAAACCTTAAAATTTGATAAATATAAATAAAGTATGAATTGAAACAAAAGCAATGTATCGTTTTATCAATATTGCCAAAATAATTTGTATCATTCTGTCAAGATAAATAATTTGAAAAATTAAATTATTCGAAAAATTGATAGCGTCGTTTTCAATAAAATATCATGAAGATTATAAATATTTTAGATAATTTAATAATAAAATTTTTGTAGGAAAAGTTTATTGAAATTTTCATTACGTTACATTTGTGCAATTTAACATAATGGAGCCTTTTGAAGAAATAAAAATCTTTGACGATGCAATGGATGATATGGATATCATAAAAACTATAATTAAAACAGAAGACCGAGAAAAAGCTTTCTACATCGGCAATATCGGCAATGTTATTAGAAAGCATGAGGAATGGATTACCAAAATGCCCAGGGTTATTCCACACTTTGGTACTTGCATTATATTCTTTACTTTCACATGTGCAGAAAAAGATGAACTTAAAAAAAAAATTAATACACTAATTCTTTTAAAAATTTAAGCGGTTAAATGTAATCCGGATCCAACAGTAATTAAAGTTCTGGCAGCTTTAAACGCGTGTTTTGATTGTGCATCCGAGGTAAAATTTTTGTGAAATCCTTTAACTACCCTAACAACTCAAAAAATCTGAAATAATAATTATCACACCAGCAAGAAATAAAGCAAGTGATGCAGCACGGAGTGCATGGCGACCGAATTATTTTTGCGCATCCGACGAAGTATCCGTCTCACATACAGTACGCCAAAAAAATGGACGTAAAGCAGATGACGGTCGACGGTGAGAGCGAATTGTTGAAAATTAAGGAGATTTTCCCCGAGGCTAAGTGAGTAATCTAATGTAACGGAGTACAACAGTTCGCAAGTTACAAAATCGACGCATCTCTATGTAACAGAATCGTGATACGTATACGCTGTGACGCGAAAAACACGCCGATAATATTGGGATTGAAATTTGGCTGCGAGCCGGACGAGGAAACTGTACGCTTGATACAGCTTACGAAAGATCTCGGTTTGAATTTACACGGCTTCAGCTTTCACGTCGGTAGTCCTTGCGGAGAGCTAGAGGCTTACGCCAGAGGGATTGCATTGTGCAAACAATTAATTACCATCTCTAAGGCAATCGGGTGCGATAACGTGCAGTTAATCGACATCGGCGGTGGATTTCCCGGCGAGAGTGGAACAGATACTGATAAGGTATACGGGATGTCTCCAAACTCTCGCTTGTCTTTGTTTTATTAGAATGTTAGACTGAAATGTTCGATATTACATAACACTAAGTAGAATACATTAAAGACTTAATCGACGCTCAATTATTTAGAAAACAAGATTTTAAAAGCCAGTCGAAATGGCTTTCTAAATTGTCGGTCGTACAAAATCAATTTTGAATTTATCGAGGAATTTGTAAGCGCAAAAAAGTGTAATTTATTTATTTATTATTTTTATCGATTATTTATTCATGTGTCGTTCGTATATTTTTGATAACCGTTTCAGTTTGCCAATGTTATCAACGAGGCGATAGAAGATCTGGATTCTAGCATAAAAGTTATCAGCGAGCCGGGAAGCTATTACGTAATTTCCAACTTCACCTTGGCTTCGTATCTACATTCCAAGAGAATCACTTCTAAAGACGGCGAATTGATGAGAATGTATTATATGAATTGCGGCGTATTCAACGCCTTTATAGAGGAACTGCTGGGTCTACAATCGAGAGTCCCGCAATTACTTTCCAACGTAATTCTACATTTTGTATGTCGCACACGAAACATTTCTTTACCAATAAAAAGTAATAATCAATTTATTGCAGCCAACGAACGATACGAAATACCTCTCGAGTTTATGGGGGCCGACTGCCGATTCGTATGATTTAATCGTGAAAGATGTGATGCTGCCTGAACTTGAAATCGGCAGTTGGTTGATTTGGAAAGATATGGGCGCTTATTCTATAGCTCTTGCCACTACGTTCAATGGATTTCCGGTGCCACATGTGATTCCAATCATTAGACAGAGTCAATGGTCAGTGCTTATAAAAAAAAGTAAATGATACAATATTACTATTCTTTTATATATGATAATGCTGAAATTCAAGTCCAATTTGTACAAACTGAATTAATATTTCCAGGAAGAAGTTTAAAGCGCAGATTAATTTAATGTAAAAGCCTATTATATTCTGTGGAAACTCATCAAACGACACAATTCAATAACAGTTATAAAATGAGAAGAAATTCTTAATAAAATTCGAAACTCTCAATTATTACTTTCAATTAATTCACGCTGTGACTTTATATCACGGCGGGTCGAGTAGAGAAGACGCCAGCAGCCTTGCGATTCGTCTAAAGAAGATCCTGGAGTCGTCTGTTGCACCAACTTTTATTTTTAATAAAATTCTTTTATTGGCTAGAATAAAAAATCTATAGAATGAAAAATCCTTTTTTAAGAAATACGCATTCTTTTCACTAGTAATCCACTACATATGTGATTTGTTTTATCGGATAATTTGTTAAGTTCGCATTTTTTTCCTCGATTGAAATTCTATTGTACGATTGTTTGATGTACATACGAGACAAAATAGGCTTATACAAGGTGTCTAAATAAGATATAAATAAAATATGATAAAATATTTTATTTGAGAAACTATTTCAGTCATTATCGTGTAAAATACAAAATAAAGATAATTATATATTCAATATATGTGTATCTGTATATATTATTTAATTGAATAATTAGTTAATATTGTATTTATTACACGAGGATAAAAATAAGGGAAGCATATATTTTTCTTCAGTAAAACATATAGTATTACATGTATATTTTTCAAATATTATCTTGTCATATTTAATTCATATTTATTTGACACTTTGTACATGTCAATGTCTCGTACATTATATTGCAGCTTTGCGATAGAAGTTCGGTCAAGGAAAAAAAACGAGAGTATCGTTTGTTTGCAAATCGACACATATACACAGATCAAATGTCAGTGTAGTGAGTTATTAACACAAAAATACGTATTCGTAGACATTACGCCGATAATGTGAATGTTATTTTTAGTTCCATCGAAATGATGGCGCTATCGCGTCGGAGTTCGTCAGACATTCCGGGGGATTCCCTTAACCTAGAACATTTTATTCTTTGCAAAAAGGAATAAAGAATAAAGAATTTTGCAATTTAATCACAACAACGGTTTGCCATGTGACAGTTAATATTTATAGATCGCAAAACATGCGTAAGTGGTAAAGATTCACTATACATGCAGTGCATGTATAGTTCATCGCGACGGTGAAAATCTCGAATTGATAATATTTTGACAGTTTTTCTAATCATAATATTGACTTTTATAAAATAACAATGACTTATGTTATTCGAAAAGTATTGATTTTCAGCACGGAAATGTACGACTTTCTAGTATTTTATCATATTATAATACTTATATATTTTTTTAGTATATTATAAATTATCAATTAAAACTGATAATTCGGCGAATTTCGATATGAATTTAGTGAATTGGAATAGATTATGCTTCATGCTATTTATCACCATCTGTAATACCGATTGTAATGTCAATGTGTAAGTTATTATAGAAAAATATCAAAAATGCAAGTTATTATAGGAAAATATCAAAAATAAATCAATAATAAAAAAATCTACTATACTGTACAATTTAAGAAAAGTTGTAAACCACATTCGTAATCAAACCATTTCGTTTTCAACACCAAAGTCAATTCTTAGAACTTGAACTGTTCGAAGCTTGGGAATTTCTCAGACTATTAAGCCCAATCTATAATGTGCTTTTTGATTTTTGTTTTTTGCCTTTTTACTTTTATGTAAAGGCATATTTTTCTTCGAAAATTCAGAAAGAAGAAGTTGTAAATCACGGTGCTTCTTGACTCCATGCGACAAACACATAAAAAACAAAAATACGAAAGGCAGAGAGCAAGAAACAATATGCAAGAAGCGCATTGTAGACCTTAGAATCCTAAATCATTCTTGTCTCTTCACATTCGACACACAAGGGCACAATAATTTGTTATTATTATTTATTTTAAAAGCTATAACGTCTTCAATAATTTCTGATAATTATTTCCAAAATAATATAATGAAATACAATGACTCCTTTTATAAATAATTTGTAAATAACTATGTATTTATTTGCAAAATTTTAACGGGCATAAAATTAAGCATGCATAAATTTTTGCAGCTATAATAATACGGTCAAGGTAAAAATTGGATTAATAAGGTAGATAAGCCATACATAATGTTATTTAACCAAGTGTGATAAAGTAACTAATTAGTCACTCAAATGTGTGCTAATAATATGACATTGGATCATTTTATAACCTGCAATACGCACTGTCATATTATTTTGGAAGGAGAAGACGCGGAGAAGTGGAAAAGAAATTAAGAGATGGCGTTAGAAAGCAAGAAAACCAGCACGAATCTGATACTGCTGGTAGTCAGCCCGAGTGTGCCATGTGGTGAACTGACAAATAAGTTACTTATTTTAATAAATAACAATTTGAACCAGAGTCTATAAGAGAACACTAATATAAACGGACTCTGAATGTTCTTTACAAGAAACTTTCATCAAATTAACAATCCATATATCTTTAAAAATAACTCGAGAGTATTAGAATTTGTTGCAGCATAACGGCAGTAGCAAATCGACATATTTAAATTAGTAAGTATTGTCAATTTATTGTTTTAATTAGTTTAACGAAAAGACATTTCATAATATTAATTTCATGTAATAATAAAATTAATAATTAATATTATTTTTATAATTAAACACGCTTATTATTGCTATGTATTAACTAAATATGCAAGTATTCTATTAAGTACTACCGGTATTAGAAATACACATACAATCCAGATAAGATAGATTGATAGAAAATTCGAATTTGCTGTCAATCTGCCAACATTGCTAACATTTTGCCTATTGGAAACCTAGAGATTGTTCAACACATAAAATGTGATTCCAAATTTCCAATCAACGTTACATTAATCTAAGTTTACATAAAAGCAGCCAGATGTTAGTAAAAATTTTAATTATAATTCACTCAATATAAATTTAGAGACAGTGGCTTACATAGTTAAGATGTTACAGTTTTTATTATATTTTGTTTATTTCTTTTTTAATATAATCGTTGATCGTTGTTTACAATATTTTAGAAGTTTTTTGTATATTTATATGTTTATATTACCGCAAAAAGTCGTATTGCTTAATTGTTAAAGCAAGTAACCGATATCAAGATCGAATGAGCGACAAGTAGTCGTCATCGAGAGCAAGATCTGAATGGTCATCTTACGAGTTTTAAATTACCGCGAGCTACCGAGAATTTATTTTGAAAAATTATCGAGAGTTTATTTCGTATTGCTGCAAATGTCTTACTTTATCGATTTTAAGGAGATCCCGGAGTGCCTGACGACGCGATAGCATCGTTTTAATGGAACTAAGAATGACATTGACATTATCGACGTACTGTCCATGTATACGTATTTGTTTGCGTTAGTAACTCACTACACTGACATTTAATCTGTGTATATGTGTCGGATAGTTTGCAAACAAACGATGCTCTCGTTTTTTTTCTTCACCGAAATTCCGTCGCAAAGCTGTAATATAATGTACGAGACAAAATAGGCATGTACAAAATGCCAAATAAATATGACTTAAATATGACAAAATAATATTTGAAAAATATACATGTAATACTAGATGTTTCACTGAAGAAAAATATATGCTTCCCTTATTTTTATCCTCGTGTAATAAATACAATATTAACTAATTATTCAATTAAATAATATATACATATACAGATATATTGAATATATAATTATCTTTATTTTGTATTTTATACGATAATGACTGAAATAATGAGTATATATAATTTCAGTCATTGTATAAAACACAAAATAAAGATAACTATATATTCAAGATGTGTGTATATGTATATATTGATTAATTAATTAATTAATTTATTTATATATTGTATTTATTACGTAAGAATAAAAATAAGGAAAGCATATAACATTTTCTCAATTAGATGTATAGTATTAAATATACATTTCTCAAATAAAATATTTCAACATATTTAATTTATATCTATTAGACACCTTGTATAAGCCTATTTTGTCTCGTGCGTACATCATACAACCGTACAATAGAATTTCAATCGAGGAAAAAATGCGAACTTAACAAATTATCCGATAAAACATAAACAGACCACATATGCAATGGATTACTAATGAAAAAAAATACGCATTTCTTAAAAATTGGTAGTCCACGTTACATCAGCTCTGGCATTATTTATTTAAAATTGTCAGTTCACAATAGATTGTCTCTGACAATATTTATTACAAATTGTCAGTTGACGTTGGATCGCATCAGACTATATGTATCAAAATTTGCCAGCTCACGGTAAATCGCCTCTGGCTTTTCTTATTTGGCAATTGTTTCAAAATGATATTGATAATAATTTGTCTCTCGCTGACAAATGGAAAGTAATATCAATTGACATTGAAACAATTCTTTTAAATTACAAAAAAGCAATAACCAACCTGTTACCCAATTTTTTCTCGTGTGTATCTTTAGAGAGGGACAAATTTTTTATTCCATTATTTTTTCCATTGCACAGTACATCAAACATTAAATACTATATATCTTTATATATAAACACACTCTCGAAAGTAACTTATATTGCACAGTATATCGGTAAAAAGTTGGAGTACTACGGAAAGTGTATTATCAGTTAATTTCTAGTTTTTAAATTATAACTACAAATAATAAAGTATATATTTTTTATAGAAAAATTTAAAAAAGAACTTGGCTGTACTTTTAATTATGCCCATCATGCCACACTTTGATTTCGATGAAATAAATATCCTCAACGATAATACAAATGACATGGATATTATTAGAGATATAATTAATACTGATAAGCCAGAAGATGCCTTCTATGTAGCAGATATTGGTGACGTTATTAAAAGACATCATGAATGGATTAAAAAAATGCCTAAAGTTATACCACACTACGGTACGTATGTGGCAATCATTCTATTTTTTGTTGTGTCATCTCTTAAAATGCACATTTTGTGATAAAAAGAAGAATTTTCCCCTTTTTAAATTTCAGCGATTAAATGTAATGCAAATCCGACAGTAATTAAAGTTTTGGCAGCTTTAAATGCTTGTTTCGATTGCGCATCTAAGGTAACTTCTACTTTTAGTTTTAAACACAATGTTCTGAAATGCTTGAAAATATATTTAACCAACACATTTCACAATATAAGCTAACAGATGGAAAAATTTAAATATTTTGGAAAAACTCTGCATATGCGCGTTTATGCAAACTCCATATAAATTCATAAATTGCCTAAAAATAATAATTGTGTATCTAACAGCAAGAAATAGCACAAGTAATGCAGTACAATGTGCAAGGTGAACGGATAATTTTTGCACATCCAATGAAATTGCCATCTCATATCAAATATTCCAAAAAAGTCGGTGTCGAACAAATGACAGTTGACAGTGAATCTGAATTAAAGAAAATTAAAGAATATTTTCCCAAAGCTAAGTAAGTAGAGTAAATAATTTTTTGTAAACAAAATTAAATTAAAAAAAAAGCTTGGAAGAGTGTAACGAGTGCAGATGAAAGTAATTCCTTTTGGACATAGCTGCCTCCACACATCTATCCTCTATTTTCATTAATGCAATATCAATGCTTTCTATTTAATTTTTTACGTTTAACTTTTGATTGATTCGTATAATTAATTGATTCCGCAGAATCGTGATACGCATACGCTGCGACGCGAAAAACTCGCCTGTCTCGCTAGGAGCAAAATTCGGCTGTGACCCGTGCAAAGAGGCGGTGTGTTTAATACAGTGCGCCAAAGATCTCGACTTGAATTTGCACGGATTCAGTTTTCACGTTGGCACCCCGTGCTTAGAAATCGATGCCTATCGCAGAGGAATTAAAATGTGTGAAAGACTAATCGCTATCGCCAAAACACTGGGCTACAAAAATGTGCAGCTGATCGACATCGGCGGCGGTTTTGAGAGCGTACGTGGAAAGGAACTCGATACGGTATCTTCGATTTATTGGTGCTACATATATATACTCTGTCCAGCGAGAGAGTAGTTTCCGATCGGACGAAAACTCGTTCGGCGCAGGTTGCCCCACACAGGACGCTTAGAAAGCCCCCCCACTTCACAGGACTGTACTGCTCGTGCAGCTTGTCAATGCCAATGTTCTCCCCACTTTGCCCACTATGCTTCTCCTATGCGCAGACCGAAACTACTCTCTCGCTGAACAGAGTATATATGTGTACGTTGTTATTGACATATCTATTTTATAATTTTTTCAGCTGGCATGTGTTATTAACGGCGCGATAAAAGATCTCGATCCTACTGTAAGAGTCATTAGTGAACCAGGACGATATTATGTCGGTTCGAATTTTACTTTAGTTTCGTACTTGCATTCCAAAAAACTTGGCGTTTCCGAGGACGGCGTACTGAGAAGAATGTATTACATGAATTGCGGTGTGTACAATTCATTTTTGGATGAATTGTTGGGCGTACAATCCAGACTGCCAGAATTACTTTTCAAGGTAACTAAATAATTTATCGTTATCATTTTTTTTAGTAATCGTGTAGAGTATTTATCGATTTATTATTGCAGCCAAAGTCTGACGAAAAGTTCCCATCGAGTTTGTGGGGACCAACTGCCGATTCGTTCGATTTAATTGTTAAGAATACGCTGTTGCCTGAACTTTATATAGGTGACTGGTTGATTTGGAAAAATATGGGCGCTTATACATTAGCTCTTTCCAATACATTTAACGGATTCCCGATTCCTGTCGTAAAACCATTTATTAGGAAAAGTCAATGGTTAGTGTGCCAAACATATCTTTAAAAGATGCAATATTAAATCTAATATCTAAGTTAAAATATGTACAATTGAAATCAGTTTTCTTCTGTTATCTGATAATATACTAATATTTACAGGGAAAAGTTTCAAGAGCGTATTAATCAAACGTGAAGGAATATTTTTGGTTTCAAAAACTGCTGCATTAAGTAAACGTCAAAATAATCGAACGTATTAAGTTTTATCAAAGAAATTATGACAAACATGATAAGCATCTTTCGTTCAGCATTTTAAATATTTATGTAAAAAATATTTGTTTAAATGTTAAATATTGTAATATTATACTATTACAATTTTACAATTTTACAATAATATTGTAATATTATTTAAATATTGTATTAGAGAGAATGCAGAGAATATATATAAAATAATAGATAAATTTTACTCTTTTAGTTTACTTTATTGCGTGTGTGTTTTGTAATATATGTAAAATTTAATTTTATCGTTTTATTAGACTGATCAAAAATTCGGAAAAAGATCATATAATATGTAGAATAAAATTTTTATTTTTTATTTTTTATACTATTTTAAACCGTACGGAATAAGTAAAAAAAGAAGCGAATGATGAAGACTGACAGTCTAACAATTATAATAATCGCAACAATTTTTTCTAGAAAGCCAAAGACATATTATATCTAATAAGATATTAAGATATATCTATTAAGACATTCCATATATTATATCTTTGGCCTTCTAGAAAAAATGTTGCGATTATTGTAATTGTTAAAATATCTATCGTTCGCATCTTTTTTTTTTATTCCGCACGCTTTAAAATAATTTAAAGATAAAAAATTAAAATTTTTATTTTTTATTTTATTGATATAACCAATTACGCTTTCTATCGATAGAATAATGAAAATTCAAAAGATTATTAAATAAAATGGTTATATTACTAATAAAAACTATTATATATTTCTATTTAACTATACATTTAAATTTTATTCTTTGTTTACAATTTAAACAACTTTTGATCCGATCCAATAAAATGTGTATTAATGTGTACGTTAATATAAAAAATAAAAGATTATTATATAAATTTTGGTTAAATCTCTTTTCGAAAGTATTTCACTATAAAGATTAATCAAAAATTTTATTCAAAGTTATGATTGACGATTGATTATAGTGGAATAAAAGACAGGACAAAAAATGTCTCAGACACGGAGAAAAGAACGGGAGGGAGAAAAATAAAAGAGCATATTTATCGGGCGTCCTATAAAGCTTTTTGTACGTAGGCGATAGATATACTATATCACACTACAATTTTGTGTGCATCGGAAATTGCGGCGTTACGAGTTTATTTGGAATGCACGGAATTTCTGGAAACGTTGCATGCCGATCGTGATTCGTTGACCATGCCAATTATTTGGAAGCAATTCGTTCTTTATGCCAATGTTGATTTTTTTTTACAAACGTGTCATTTCTATCGCGTTATATTTATCTCGATATTACGCAGTACATACTTAATTAATCAATCAAATTATGCAAGTGGTATTATTAATTGATAATGCAAGGATAACACAGCTGCTATAATACAAGAAGAGTCATTGAGTTTTCCGTGAAGGTACGAGTGCACCTTGCAATTTGCAAGAAACGACGGACGTAAATAATCTCTGCGTTTACGTATACGACTGGGTTACATTACATTATAACTATTCGGCTAATCTTTATTTGCAACAATAAACTGCAGCGGCGTAGATAAGAACCGAGGCGAGGGACTATAAAAAGTGCAGTGTTATCCCGAATTGTGCTCCTTTTAATGAATACCGGACAAAACGAGTAGAGCCATAAAAGTGCTATGTTTCATTGTGGTCAAGGAAATCCTCAATCGATTAACATCAATTCTCGCTTTACCGTCTTCGATTTTTATCGTAAATGCTCGCAACGCTTAGAATTAAGTAGCGTAAAGAATTGCATATTATTCGCAAATATCAAGCGATCAAATAATTTAATTAATTTAATTCAACGTAAAATAAATAATTTGTAATTTTAGTGATAATTTTAAATACATATTGCAGATAACATTTTTAATAATTTTATATTAATATTGACTTTTTTATCATAAAGTAAAATGTAATATCGCATCGGGTCAGTTATTTCCTGATTAATCATATCATTAATATTTTAATTTGAAATGCGATCTACAGTATCAATCGCGTTTATTGTCTCTCAACAAATCGTAGATAATTATCATCGTGCGTGTACCCCGATAGCCAAATATTGGCGATATTGGCAGATCGACAGCATACTTGATGAAATTTGATGAAAATTTGACAGCAAATTATTTGATCAATATTTGGTCAAAACTGCTATCAATCTTGTCATATTGCCAATATTTTGCTTATAAAGAACCTAAAGATTGTTCGGCTTACAAAATGCAATACAATTTTAAATTTTGACGTTGATATTTATCAAGTTAAGTTTACGTAAAAGCAGCAAGAACGTGCGACAAATAATCGTCAAAGCAAGACATAAACAGTTACTCTACGAGTTTCGAACTATCGCGAGTTACCTAGAGAAATTATTAAAAGTTTATTTCGTAATATTACGAACGCCTTCTTCTTACTTTATCGATTTTACAACTGTTGTACTTCCACAGTTGTCTGAAGTACGCCATCATCAGCATTGAAAATCTCACATCTAATATGCTTAACAAATTACATAAATGTATCAAAATTTGACAGTAATCCGTGCAAGGAGACGGTATGTTTAATACAGTGCGTCAAAAATCTTATCTTAAATTTATACGGTTTCAGTTTTCATGTTTTCAACGCCGTGCTCAGAAATCGATGCTTATCGCAGAGGAATTGAAATGTGTAAACGATTAATCGCTATTGCAAAAATACTCGATTGTAAAAATATGCAGTTCAACATCCGCGGTAATTTTCAGAGTGTGCGCGGGAAAAAATTCGATATGTGTCTTCGATTTATTGGTGCTATGTATGTTATTGTTATCGACATATCTATTTCTATTTCTTTAGCTGACGAATATTATTAACGGCGCAATAAAAGATCTTGATCCGAGTATAAAGTTTGTTAATGAACCAGGACGATAAATTTTACTTCAGTCTCTCGTATTTGCGTTCCAAAAAAATTTATTGTTTTCGAAGACGGCATAGAAGAATGTATTATATGAATTGTGGCGTGTATAATTCTTTCTTTAATGAATTGTTGGATGTACAAGCCAGACTACCAAAATTACTTGTTAAGGTTATTGAAAAATTTATCGTTGCGTATTTATCATCATTTTTAAAATTTTATTAATCGTATAGAATAATATTGACTTAAATTTTTACACGGTATGTAATAGAATAATAATTGATTTATTACTGCAGCCAATTTCCATCGAGTTTATGTGAACCAACTGCCGATTTCAATTTAATTGTTAAGAATATGTTGTTGCCTAAACGTTATATAGGTGATTGGTTAGTAGTTTGGAGAAATATGGGTGCTTACCACATTAGCTCTTTCCAATACGTTCAATGGATTCCCAATTCCTGTCGTAAAACCATTTATTAAGAAAAGCCAATGGTCGGCAAAACATATTTATTTTAAAATATTGAATCTAGTATCTTGGTTAAAATATATGTGATTATTGAGAAACAATTTTTTTCTGTGATCTGATAATATATTCACATTTACAGAGAAAATTTCCAAAAGCAAATCAAATTAAATACCTAAGCATTAAATAAGCGTTAAAATAACATAATAGATCGAATATTATCAAAGAAATTAGAATAAACGTAACAATCGTCTTTTGTTCAGCATTTAAAAAATTTATGTAAAAAAGTTGCTCAATTTTTAACTATTGTATTAGAATATTCAATTTATATAAAGTAGATCATTTTTATTCTTTTGATATATTTTATTTGTTTTGTTTTATATGTGAATAAAAATTAATATAATAGAATCATTGGATTGATCAAAAGTTCGAAAGGAGATTACATATATCTCTAGCTTTGCAGCAAAAATGGTTTCGATTATTGTGACTGTTGGATTAAATAAAACTATTATATATTTGTATTTAACTATACATTTAAATTATTTTTTGTTTACAATTTAAACAAACTTTTGATTCGATCCAATTAAATGTGTATCAATGTGTACGTTAATAAAAAAAAAAAGAATATTATGTAATATTTTGGTTAAATCTCATTTTTTCGAAAGTATTTTACTATAAAAATTCAAAAATTTTATTCATAAGTAGTTATAATTGACGATTGATTATAGAGAAATAAAAGACAGGGCAAAAAAGGTCTCAGACACGGAGAAAAGAACGGGAGGGAGAAAAATAAAAGGACATATTTATCGGGGGTTTGATAAAGCTCTTTGCAGGCGATAGGTATAGCGTATCATATTACAATTTTGCATGCATCGGAAATTGCGGACGTTTCGTACGAGTTTATTTGGAATGCACGGAATTTCTGGAAACGTCGTTGCATGCCGATCGTGATTCGTCGCCAATTATTTCGAAGTAATTTGTTCATTATGCCAATGTTGATTTTTTTTACAAGCGTGTTATCTCTATATTTATCTCGATATAACGCAGTAAACACATAATCAAACAAATTGTGCAAATGGTATTATTAATTGATAATGCAAGAATAACACAGCTACTGCAATACAAGAAGAGGTATTAAGTTTAAGTGAATGTACGAGTGCGCGAGCAATTTATAAGAAGCGAGCGATGTAAATAATCCCGCATACGATCGTCACAATACAAACAACAATTGTTTCGAATCAAGTCAAGAATTATTTATTATTCGCAAATTCGTGCAATAAAATAGTTTAATTAATTTAATTCAACACAAAGTCAATAATTTAATTTTGGCGATAACTTTAAATGTATACATAACATTGTTATTAATTTTGTATTAATATTGACCTTTTTATTATCAAATAAAGTGCAACATCGCTTATATCTTATCGGGTCAGCTGCTTCCTGATTGTTCATATCATTAATATTTTAATTTTAAATACAATCTATAATATCAATCTCGTTCATTGTCTCTCAAAAAATTCGTAAATAATTATCATCGTGCGTGTAAGCTGATATTGACAGATCGACAGCAAATTTGATCAACTTTGACATTTTTTATCAATATTTGCTGTCATTCCGCCAACATTGCTAACAGTTCGCTTACTAGATATGTCTCTAAAGCAGTCAATGTAGTGAAATATAATCAGCTTTGTCGTCACTGTCAAGATATTGATTTGGCAAAGCTCATTTCTCTCTTTGCTCAACTCACCCCTTTTTTCTTTTCCCATTTCTGACATCTCTTTCTCACGTCTGACTCGACGTAGGCTCGCTATCGAAAGACGACGCGAGCCAGGCACTAAGTATGCATAGCCGGCTCC